TTGTTCTCTACGTTATCCTTTCACCTTACGACAATGAACAATCTGATTTGGTGCACAGAATTAGTAGTGACAAAAAGCTAGAAGAAATCCCCAAGTATAAGTAAGTATTTTTTTCTAATAACTCTGAGATTTAAAGAAGTGTGCCTCAAACCAACAGTGCAAGTGAAACCCCTTTATGCTGAGTCTGCTGTAAGCAACTCAGAATTTAATCCTGCATGAAAAACAGTGTAAAAATGTCCTGATTGTTCAAGTTTTGAATGAAAAGAGATGTCTGTAAGAGAAGGATCTTTATCAGAGAATATCAATGGTAGTGAAAATAAAGCATTTCAAATGATGCCTTTGATCCATTTTGAGTATGAGCTAAGCCTCATTAATACAGGATTGTAATCCAACTTTACTCAACCCTTTAGAGACCTCCTAAAACTATTTACCACCATGGAGCTGATGCGGTGGAGTGCCCTAGTTGAGGAATATGGGAAGGAGTTGAGAGAAGGATCCCTTGACAGTCCTGCCACAGATGTTTTTGGCTGTACAGAGGAAGGTGAAAAGAGATGGAAAGATTTAAAGAACAGAGTTGTGGAACATGTAAGTATCACTGTCTGTGAGCAGTAGCTGTGTGTTCAGTGCCTCAGCTGAAAATGCTTTTTGCTTGCTGGGTTTGAATTGCCAAGGAGCCCAAGAAGTAGATAGTGAAGCAGCAGATAAGGTGCCTTTGCCCTTGTGCTGTATTTCAACATTTTGTTTGCTCATATGGCTTTGTTATAGATATGTGTGGCACAGTTGCCAGAAAAAAGAGCATGTTGCACTCGAATGGTGAGATCTAGCACCCACATTTCAATAGAACACATGAAAACCTTGCTTAGGATTAAATTCATAATTGGGTGATTTCTTTCCTTAATAATTTCTCATGCAGAGACTTTCATACCTTTTACAAGCAAAGAGCTGTTTGTTCACAGTTCCCTCCTGCCAGACTGCCCTTAGAGCACTGCAGTTCCTATTCTGCTTTTAACGTGGCCTTTCATATTTTTGCAGCCTGCTTCAATTATTTTTTGCACATAACCCTCTACTCTGAACACTTTTATTCCAGAATATTAGAATAATGGCTAAATATTATACCAGAATTACAATGAAGAGAATGGCACAGCTCCTGGATCTGTCTGTTGATGTAAGTGGTGCTGTGCTTATCCTTCTGCCATGAGTGGTGTGGAATTGTGTGCATGTGTTTGTGGCATGGGTGTAAGTGTTCAGCAGAGCAATATTCTAGTTTGATTTGTTTTCCTGCCTTCATGGGAGTTAGAAAGGTGTTCTTTAATCCAGGCAGAACTGAGTTTCACGTTGTATGTGCCCCTAAGGCTAAAGCTGCTCTTAAAAGTTCATTTATATTCAAGCTCTCATTTAAATGCTGGAGCTTCTTGTCTGGTGTTTGTGTTAAAAAGTTCTGGTCAACAGGTGATTAAAAGCAACTGCACAGACACCTCTGGCTGTCCCTGTTAGTAGGTGGTGGTGCTTTGGGAACACGGGGTGGTCTTCCTTCCTCCCATCCCCTTTGTGTTTAAGTGCTTTCCAGGGAGAACAACACATCATGGCATGTTGGTGTTTTGGATGCAAATGAAAAGCTTTACCCTACTGTCTTTCCATTAAAATCTGCCTTTTCCACAAACCCAGAGTCACCCTTTGACAGTGGTCAGTAATTCCCAGGGCTGTTCCTCTGCCTTGCTCTGATACCTGTGTAGCCAAGTGCTCCAAAGCGTAAAACTCTGTTGAGCTTGTAGATTAAACACGAAAGACAATCAGATCTAGGTCAAATGGAAGAAAAATGTCTTTGATAGATTGTGCTGGTACCTTGCATTGCCAACGTGTGTAGTATTTTTTAAAGTACAGTATTCTGTTGAGTATAAAGAAAACCTTTTTTTCCTGATGCTTTCATGCTATTTGGGAGAAATAATGAAGTTTTGTGGATAAAAATGCTGTTTTCTTGACTCTGTGCTGTTTGTCTTCACAGGAGTCAGAGGAGTTCCTGTCTAACCTGGTAGTCAATAAGACCATCTTTGCTAAAGTAGACAGGCTGGCAGGAATTATCAATTTCCAGAGGCCTAAGGACCCAAACAACATCCTCAATGACTGGTCTCACAAGCTCAACTCCCTCATGGCCCTAGTTAACAAAACCACACATCTCATTGCCAAAGAAGAGATGATCCATAACCTGCAGTAAGGTGCCTCAATAATCTCAGTGCTTTTAAAGAAGGCATTAAATCTTCATAATAGAGACTATTATTACAGTGTGTATATGGTTTGTTTTCTCCCTGTCAAGCCTTCCTGGTCTAAAATTTAGAACATAATTCTGAAATTCATGTTGACATTAAGTTCCCTTGATTATTCATTCAGTTGTTAAATGTTTTTTGCTACAATTGGTGAAAGAACATAATAAAACTGTATTGCCTGTATAATTGTAGTCCTGTGATTTCTTCTTTTCCATCTGTCTGACACAGCATTCTGTGGTTGTTTCATTACAGGACTATTTTGGGGCTGTTATTGGGAGGATATGCTGTAAATAATAGAATCTGTGAGACTTAGAGTGAGGTAATTTACAGTGATGTAAAGTTAGGTCAAGATACTGTATGAATAAAATTGTGGATGTTTATGCTTACGAATAATCTGTTTCTTGTGATTTAGGACTAAAGTAAGACTTCATTAATTAATTCTGAACTGGCAGAGCAATCAGCACATGAGTAAGTACACGCTGGCTTCTCAAAAAATGCACCAAGACTGAAGATCTCTGATCTTGGCAATGTGAGATGAAACCACCACGTTACTCTGAACTTTGTAGCTCATGTGTCCTCAGTGTACCCTCAACATCCCCTCATTGCTGGTCCCCTCTCAACACTCTTCATTTGGTGCATCAGAGGAGAAAATGAGTTAGTTTGAATATTCCTTGCTCTAGAAATTGTCTTTAAAGAGTCCATGTTGAAATGCTATCCTTGGATAATTATGAAGTAAGATTAAAGTTGTGATCATCTGTTCATTAGAGGACTCTGGAGGAATTCCAGGGGAATTTTCATGCTGGAAAATCAAAACTTGCTACACTTCAGCCTAATAACCAGACATTAATGTCAGCCTGGAGACAGTTTGCTTTACTGTTTAGCAAGACTAAGAATTGCTGTAGCTATCTAACCTCAGGTCTGCCACTGCCTTGTCTGTGGCAGAGGCTAAACCACTTCACTTTTGTTAGTTTCCCATGATTGCTGCTTCTGAGGGAGTTCAGAACTTGATAAAGGTCCAGTGTGCTAAGACAATAAAAACATTGCTGCTACTCTTGCTATCCATGTGGCACTTCCATGGAGAAAACCACAGGAGGCCTTTGTCCCTCCGAGGTGCAGGGTGGTTGAAAAACCCTGCTGGGATGTTAGGCTGCAGGGACAGGGAGGCAACTCACTGCTGAATGTGTTTTGTTATGTGCTTATGACTTGCATGTTCATTGTAATGGTTTTTCTTGTGTTCTGGTTAGGCATCGTGAGTGAGGCTGATTGAAAGTGGAGTTTTCTGTGTTCGAGCCAGTTCCCAGAAATGGGAGTGAACCTGATGTAGGATGGAAATTGAATTTCTGAACTTCCTGTGAAAGCAAAAGTCTGAGGAGAGAGACAAAAAGCAGCAGTGTAAGTTTGGAATCATTAAAATAGTTTTGTTTTGAAAAGGTAAAGCCCGAGCTGGAGCTGAGATTCCGAGCTGCAGCTCCTGGGCGAGCCAGGACTACTCCAGGGCTACTCCAGGGCTTTTGGCTACCAACTCTCCATTAGCCCCGGAGCCAGTGAGGGTTTCAGAGCTCCCAACTCTCCCAGAATGTGTGCCACACCTTTCAGAGCTGTGCTCAGATCTTTGCTGCATGGCAGGGAGCCTAGCAGCCCTGAGTGGCCCCAGGTTTTCAAGCTCCTGGGTTCTGGCAAGGAGCCTGGATTCTCCAAGGACCTGGGCATGGCTCCTAGCTCCACAGAATAGGGAGAAGCCCTGTGAACAGGCACAATTTTTACAGGATCCTGACTTCAGAGCAGGCAGACAGGATGTGTTGGTGCCTCTGCACAGAGCTTCCCTCAGTCAGAGTCCCTGCCGGGGTGTGCTTCCTGGGCTTCAGCAAAAACTCTGATCATCTGAAAGATTCTGAGATCTTAAGAAAATGTAAAAGTGGAATGGAGTTGGATATTGCTGCATTCATTGGAGGTTTGGGGGGTTAATTTTGCCATGATAAGGAGTCCCTAGAAATAACCTGATCCTGTCAAGTTTCACAATGCTGAGCAGGGATTCCTTGTCTTTTTCCCCACCTCATACTTCCCTGTTGTGCCTTTGGCATTCCTTACATTCTGAGATCTTAAGAAAATGTAAAAGTGGAATGGAGTTGGATATTGCTGCATTCATTGGAGGTTTGGGGGGTTAATTTTGCCATGATAAGGAGTCCCTAGAAATAACCTGATCCTGTCAAGTTTCACAATGCTGAGCAGGGATTCCTTGTCTTTTTCCCCACCTCATACTTCCCTGTTGTGCCTTTGGCATTCCTTACATTTGCAGCATCTACTGTTGCTTTTCCTCTGCTCCCAGGCTCCCAGTGATCAGCTGCTCCTGGTCTCCTCAGGCAGAAGGAGTCTGAGCTCTCCTCTTGTCCTGAACTGGTGAGCATGGCACACAGATTCCAGGAGCTTGGGAAGTCTGGACAGTTCTGGAAACGTGAGGCAGCATCTGCTCCTGTGCCTAGCCCAGTGCTGAGTGAAGGCCTGGCTTGTCAGCTCAGCCCCTGGAGCTGTGAATCATGTGTTGGATTGCAGAGGTTGGAAGCCAAAATTGTACTTCCACTGGGGTAGTACGTGTCAAGGAGAGAGAAGGAGACATCTCGTGGAGTTCCTCCCACAGCAGCATCTAATGTGATAAGCTTATTGCCTTAAATCATCCTTTAATGCTGTACTGAAACATGTCAATGAAAGCCACAAAAAGTCTCCTTTTTCCTATGTAGTGTACCTGGGCATCCTCTGCCTCCTCTGCTGTTAGAAGTGGCTCTGAAACCAGATGTAGTTATATTAAGGCCCTTTAGATTTGGGATCTCATCCCTTAGGCCAGTTGCTATATGATTCTCACTCTCAGAGATTTATTTTTGTAAAAAAAAATCAATTAATTTAAAGAAAACCTTTGCATTTTCTAACAGAAAAGCTTGCCAGTAATACAAAAGCTCACTGGGAATCAAACACAACCAACCTCCAAACTAAAAGGACTAATTCCTCTTCAAGAATCTGGACTGAATGAGGCACAGAGCTAGTTAGATCCTAAACATGGTTTCAGTTTTACTTGACCCCCACAGTGCCCAGGGAAAACACGAATCAGAGCACTGGGGAGGGTGTCTGTGAGCCACCAGGGACAGTAGGTCCATGGGAATTTTGATCCTCCTGAAATGGCATCTCTGGAGCTGAGTCTGGGACCACCCACACTCCCCCCTGGCATGGCACTGAGTCAGTTAACTGTACTCCCAACCCTGTTGGTAAACTTGAATTAAAAAATGGACTGATTTAAGTCTGGGGCTGCAGATGCAAAGGATTTCTTGAGATTAATTTCCTGCTGTATTTACATATTTGCAAGGAGCTCTCTATAAATGCATTACTGATGAATATTGAAAATCTTCTTGGGCACAAGTATCTTCTTGCAGTGGCAATGCATCAGAGGCTTGGCTGGTGGTTACTCTTCAAAGAGTTAGGAGGCGTTAAGTGTGTATTTAAATATAAATGTATTTAGGAAAATCCAATACCAAAATGATCTGGATCTTATTTTAATTAAAAAGTGGAAGGAAAAGTGTTTTAAAAAAACCCCACTGGAATCCTGTTTTGGTGCTAAACTTTGCTGAGATCCTGAAGTAAGCTGCTTTTCCCCAATTTCTTGTCCACTTTGCCCTGAAGCACAACAGCCTAAAGCACAGGGCACACATCCCTAGCAGCAGAGCCAGGAACACCTTGGCAAAGGCAGTTTGCAAAACAGCCTAGGTATTAAGCATTGATTGCCAAACGGTGTGAAAACACAGCGAACAGGCAGGATTACCCCGGGAAAACACAACTGGTATGCAAAGCAGTTTCTGGGATCCATGCACAGCCACAAACTGGTTCCCAAGTCCCTCAGCAGATGGGCTGGAAACAGCCAGAGCTGCTCCATCACCTGCTGCAGCCGGGATGGAACTGGGGAAACAGGGAACAATCAGTAAAGTTAAAACAAAAACAACCAAACAGGAGAACAACCACGAGGAAAAGCTATTTCCACGTGTTTTCCAGGGGTGAGCTCCGTGCTGTGGTTCACCGTGGGACCCTCTGTGCCCATCGGTACCAGCGGGGACAGTGAGCCCCGGACAGCGAGGGGGGCAAAGAATCACAGAATTTAGGGTTGGGATGGAGCTCAGAGCTCACCCAGCCCCAACCCTGGGCAGGGACAGCTCCCAGCAGAGCAGGTTGCTCAAGGCTCATCCAACCTGGAATGAACAGTGCCAGGGTTGGGGCATCATCATCCCTGGGCAACCTGTGCCAATGTCTCCCCCCGCCCGCACAGGGTGTGCGGCGGGTCCCGCTCTATCCCGGCGGGTCACGGTGTGTCCCGATATGTCCCGACAGTCCGGGCGTGTCCCGCTGTGTCGCGGCGCGGAGTGTCCCGGTGGGGGCGGATTTGTCCCGCAGGATCCCAGCGGTGTGTCCCGGCGCTCCCCGCCCCGGGGGCTGTGTATCCCGGT